CTTACTTCTTTTTATTTTTTATTTTTTTTCTTCTTCAAAAATTTGTTCTTTTTTTTACTATTTCTGGTTCTAACCTTAGTTGTCTTGTTTATTTTGTTCTTTTTATTACTCTTTTTGTGTTGTTTGGCTTGAGTCATTTATTACAGGTCAGTGACCTTTGATGACTCTCTCACTTTCGTGAATAAACAGTCTTAGTCTACTTCTCGGTACTTCTTGATACTTCTTCGTACTTCTGAAGTACGAAAGGGGGAAAAGCGTACTTCGTACTTCAGAAGTACGGAGAAGTACAAAAAAGTACGAGGAAGTATCAAGAAGTACGGAGAAGTACAGAAGTATGCTTTTTCCCCCTTGGAAAAACTTAACAAGATAAAAAACTGTAATAACAAGAATAATATCTGGGTCAATATTGAACACGTTGCATCACTTTCGCTTACAAACTGTTGGTCTTTTTTGTTTTAGCATTGGAAAGCACGTAATATACATCCAGATTATTATAAACTACTTGAACCAAATGTAACGATTGAACAGGTTAGAAGGAAATTACGTTACATTAGCATTTGAGTCAAAACTATTTCCACTTTCAGCCATATCCCGATGCTTATTGATTTTCAGTTGTTACAAAGGAATTTACACAAGATTTAGTTGACATAATGGAAGTATTTAATGTTTGGTCTGGTAGTGCACATAACGTTGCCAACCATAAAGGGAAAACGATATATCATGGTTTCATTTATTGATCCTTAAATTTAAGTTTTCTATGTTTTTTGTATAGCTGAATGTTATATTTTTTGTAGTACTATTTCAAGACTTTTTTTGAATAGTGATGACATTTTCAATCAGAAATTTCGATATAGTTAGCCTGTTTTTGAACAAACAGTGAATACGTTAGTAATAAAAAAAATCGAAGTTGTGTTTGTACATAATTATTCATCATTGTTATGTTTTTTGGTTTATAAAACTTTTTATTCATTAGCGTCAGACAGAATATGTGATAATAAATAGATAATTTCTTCTGGAATAATTGTGATCAGTCTGTGTTTGTTACTTGCTTTTTGTATGAACTTTCCCTTTTTTTTGTAATTGAACTTGATTTTATTAAAACAGAATAATGAATAACAATCTTTTTTTTCTTCCTTGTTATAATAGGCATATTTTATTACTTTATATGCTTTGTACGCTTTGCATTTAATTCTAAAGCGTACACGTACGCTCTGCGATCAATTACAAAACGTATTTGTACGTTTTCTGGCCGATTCTCATTAAAAACCCTGCGGGAAATTATTTGCGGCTAAAAGTGTTTTACAGAGACAATATCAGATATAGCAACAACTCCCACTCGTCAAAATTATCGGTCACAGTATTTGGCAGCGTGGGAAAAGAAGGAGGAAGCTTCATATAAAACGTACGTATTCGAGTTATTGGGTGGACTACGTGAACAGTTTAATGTGTTGGTTATACAAGACGGTGGATGAAAATGGGGCAATAACAATGCGTTGTGAACTGTGTGAAAATTTAACAAGATAAAAAACTGTAATAGCAAGGATAATATCTGATGATACTGAATCTAATGAAGATGATGGAGAAGGTGAACGATAATTATTCATCATTGTTGTTTTTTTATTTCGAAAACTTTTTATTCATTGGTGTCAGATAGAATATATGAGTAAATTAGAATAATAAACTTCTGGAATAATTGTGACTAGTCTGTGTTTGTTTTTTTGACCAATAGTTTATTTTTTCTGTCCTATTATATAGCTAATATATTCAATCGCTAGATAGGGGTGTGATTGTCCTGTAGAAGTACCAACCGGTTTATATTCTTGTTAAATACTTCTTTCGCCTTACAATCAAGCAGGTAGTAAGTGCTTCGCGCATAACACATGTATGTGCTTCGACACGTTTGTACAAAGTAGAGTCTGTTTCTATAGCTACTTCTATGGCATAATGGGTATATTTTTTGCGTTCTTTCTCTTCTTTTTCTTTGGCTGCATCCAAAAGTGCGTCGTATAGTATTGGCCAGCCGTTAGAACGAATAAAAATACCAAAGTTGGTCTCTGCGTGCAACCATTACACTGCAACTGCATGGATGTTTACGTCTTTACGCAACTTTTGAGAACTCATACTTAGTTTTTTGAGATATTAACGCTATTTTCTATCTGTTAAAGAGCCGCTACGTTGTCTAATTCGATACATTTCGATAATCTAGCGACACTCAAGTGTTGGCGATCTGATGATTATGCTGACGAAAAAGAAGATAGTGAGTTCAAACTTGGAAAAAGGAAGACATGGAATCTAGGTTTCCTGAAAAGCGATTTTTTATTTTTCTACGTATTCAGGATAGCCAGCAATCAGCGTTAACAGAAAAATCAATAGATTCTACGGCTTCTGAAGAAAGTTTTTAGCACTTGTGACAACACAAACTTTTAAAGGCGTCCAAAAAGTATGTAGCTTTTTGAGTCCCACAAGAATACGTACGAAACATTATGAAAACACATTGTATTGAGTTAATAAGTGACGGAATAAAGAATGCGTTCAAAATAACAGTTGACGTCAATTGGGTGTGGATGTTAATCTTTCCACATTCACATCCTGCCAAACTTGTCTGTATCTTTATCAGTGATCATTTTTTCGCACTAGATGAAAATATGACGTCTTGGCTTGTCCTTCCGTCGTCGCCAACAGGCAATAATCGTCGGATTGAACTTGCTGGTCTCGATTTGTGGATCATTCCGCGTATTGACAATGTTTTTGTCTATCCAGGCGAGTTAGATATCAATCAGTTTAAACATGCACTCAGTGATGCTCTTTCTTTATGGCCATTAGTTGCCGGCCGTTTTCTTGTGCTAGACGGCGGTCATTATTTCATTGAAATGTCAGACAACGGCATCCCTGTTACGTATGCTGGAAATAACCAGCTAAAACAATGGCCTCTCAACAATAATGTCGTGGTGGACATCATTGGAAACCCACTTCTACCGTTTATTGATGGAGTAAACACTATGAACTTAATGACAAATCCTGTCGAAGAACCATTGTTACGTTTAAAATTGACATGCATTGTACAAAGTGGTGAATGGGTTTTGGGTACAAGCTGGGCACATGTTCTAGGTGATGCTTCATCGTATTGTAATTTTCTTAGTACACTTTCACGTTTGTATCAAAAAATGGAACCTGTGAAGCCGTTGCCGATTTTTGAAAGACGTCTATGGCAAGAAGAAGAAGCTGATCAATCACTATCACCATTAATTAAGGAATTGAGTAATGCTAAACCATTACAAGAAATGGTTCAATCATTTCTCAGCAGAGAAGAAACACATGAACAACTTAATTTACATTTTTCAGCCAAACAACTTTCTAGACTACGTGAATTAGCTGGTGGTGGTACAGTAACAATACAAGATGCTCTTACATCATACATCATTCTTCTACTAAATACTCATTGCTTCAAAAACGATGATGAACGGCGTATTCTACGCACAAATACAGCTATCAACTTTCGTGGTATATCTGACTCAATTGCTCGAGATGGACTTGTTGCTAATGCTGTTATCGTCATGTCATCTGAAAATTTTGATGATCCATTGTCCTTAACGAATATTGCCAAAACGATTCGTCGAGCGATAGTTCGAACACGCGATCCGAAATTTCTCGAACCATGTCTAGCAACTGCTGACGGATTATTAAGAAAAATAGTCCAGAAAAATCTATTGCCTAATTTAGGTCCATTTCGTAATGATATAACCGTCAATTCGAATTTTCGTTATGATTGGGCATTTCTTGTTGATTTCGGCTACACGAATAAATGTCGTTTCTATACACCATGGACTGGTCGATTATATTTTCGTGTGTTTCGTCTTAATCCCACGAAAGAAGGTAATGAATGGATACCTCGAGATCATGATGGCGCTGAAGTTGCTTTTCGTATTACACCTGATATTAAAGATAAATTTATTAACGCATGGCACAACGATGTCGCAAAAAATTTTTCGAATATCAATTTGTAAAAACTTCGCATAGGATGTGGGGATGCGTGTAGTCATGAAACGAGAAGCATCACTCACACTGTCACATTAACACCGACAACCCACCTATATCCACACATAATTTTAGCAATCTTTGTTGTACCTTTGTCAAATGATTATATGAAAGCATTTGGTATGCAATAAAAATCTCGCTATCATCGATTACTATTGTGCCTGTTTTTGCGTGGAAAAAATACAGAAACGCATGTACAAATGATGCGTTTTCTACTGTTGCGTTAGTGTGGTAAAAAAGTGCGGAAAAACGCACATTTCTGCAGAAATCGTGAAAAACGTTGTTATGATCAGTGATTCTATATCATGTAGAACAGAGATAAATCACAAAAACTGACAGAGGTAACGATATTCCATGAGAAATGATGCGATATATATTTTTCAGGACATTATCGACTGATCTTAAAAATATAACAGGCAGAAAAACTTGGTAGAAAGTGCTTTTAGTCAGAACTCTTGTAGATCGTCAGAAACGAGCAGAAAAAACAGATAGAAAAACAATAGTTTTCTCTCTTTCATCGCAGAATCTGTTTTTGCATTATACTGCGTGTGATTTTTCAATACAATTTTTGGTTAAACACTACCGAAAATCTCATTGATCGAAGATATTTTTCAATGTTTTGAATATTCAAAACCAGGAACAAACATACCTTCAGACACATCGAGAAATTCTGCATCTTTTATCGCCCGAACCAAATTTTCACACTCATCTAAATGAACAAAAGTTTACTTAAGTTTACTTTCAAAACTTCCTAATTTTCCTGTTGAGCAACCCAGTTTTTTACGGCTTGCAGCATTTCTAGCGCTGTAAAAAAATAGCAACTATTTATTTCAAAAGGAATATATGGCTAAAATTTACGCAAAATTCTCTATCCTTTAGAATCCAAACGAAATTTTAGATGTTAGAGTCATCAAGCTTAACCTGAAAAAAAACCTTTTCAAGGTCGACAATTTAAGGTGGAGGGTCCTCTCCCACTCGGTTTTTCCTATCAGTTTGTAGAGGACACTTTGAAGTATAAATTTCAACACTTTTTTCGGGACCCAGACCCGTAGTTTTTCAGAAAATAATTTTTTAAGCTTAGTC